TTTCACCCAAAGAAGGTAAAGATCCACATCCAATAACTTCCTGGGCATAGAACGAGGAGGCCTTACACACAAATTGTCTCTATATGCCGATGACATTGTTTTGTATGTCTTAGACCCATTAATATATGTTTCTGCCATTCTCAGCACCCTGACTCAAAATCAATTTTGAAAAAAGCTAAATGTTTTCTCTTAACCAGCCCGCTACCCTAATCCCTGCATCACATTTCCCATTTAGAACTGTTATAAAGGGCTTTAAAAACCTAAGGGTTGAGATCACATCTGCTTTCTCCTCCCACTTTACTAAGAACTTTGGGGTTTTATTTGAAACATCTAAGAAAGACATGATCAGATGGATGAACTTCCCTCTGTACATAACTGGCTGGATTATTCTCATTAAAATGATTGTACTACCTACATTTATTTAACTCTTTCAAAACATTCCAATCTTGATTAAAAACATTTTTCTTAATTCATTGCACAGTAGCATATTATTTGTTATGTGGAATGGCAAACCACACAGAATAAAAAGAAGTGCCCTTCAAAGACTAAAAAGCTTGCTGGCCTGGCCCTACCTAATTTTACTCATTACTATTATGGATAGCATGCAATATAAAAGTTATGTTACATTGGATGGAAACAGACCAGGGTGGTAGATGTGAGCCCTAGGTGCAAATGGAAAAAGCCTGTAGTCCGCTTAACCTAAGCTCTGTACTATGTGCCCCGATGCCCCCTCCCCAACATCTATACACTCTCCCATGAAGAATAATTATAACTTTCCACCCTCTCTCTCTGACTGAACCTTTAGGATTTGGCACTCAAAAGGCATTATATCCATCTCCAACTTATATGTGGATGGCAACATTTTTCCTGATGTGAATCCTTTATGTGCTCGCTGTAAAGGCCAACCAGCAGATCACATACTCTGAGGCTTGTTTTGTTTTGTTGTTGTTACTTTCATTATCATTGAATGATTTTGCATTTGTAGTTGCAATCCTTTTGGCATCCTGAATTGAACAAACCCAATGGACACTCATTCTTGCACAGATTCGAACACTAAGGGGACAAATGGGGATGGTTGGGAGGGGCGTGAACTGGGTATAGTTACACAATTATAATCACTTTATTGATGCAGGTACCTTTTTTTTGTTGAATACTCTTACTTTCAACATATGCTGCAAATGAATGTACAAATGAATGGAAAATCAATAAAAAATGTTAAATGGAAAAATGGAGTCTGAACTCTGAACACTTTCAGTTTTGTCGTCCCCTCTCTGTTCTCATGTACACTCCCTGCAGTGTTGTTCCTCCCCTCATCATTTACAGGAAATCACATATCACATGATCATCTCTATCTGCTGGAAACACTCAAACTGGAATAGATAAAAAAAAAAAAATGCAGCCCAGTGGTTCCCAACCTGGGGGTCAGGACCTCCACTAGAGGTCGCCAAAGCCTCAAGGGGGGGCTTCTTGGTTTTAAAGGGTGGAAGAAAACTTAAACTAAACTTTTTAAGATCTGAACTTTGGAGACATGAACACAAGCTATATTCACAGAGCCTTCACTCTCTGATAAACATCCTCTTTAGGATGTCCTGACACAATACATATACCTGCCAATTTACAGTCATGTCTGCAAAACAGGACACCAGGGCTGTTTTTTTGAAAGTTTGTAGGGGGCGCTATCGAGCCATTTTGACACACCCACGTGCGAGACCCAGATGAAATGTAAAACGCTACCATGTGGGACGTGTGTGCAAGTTTCATGACTTGTTGAGCCTGTTTAGTCCCTGCAAAATGCAATCATATGTTAAAACAACAAGGTGATGCTCACTGCGTTGCTACGGCTACACGGTTCAATAAAAATTCATAGAATTCGTAAGATGTCATTCATCCTTTGACCAAATTTCAGCTAGACGTGGTCAATCTGCTGGGAGAAATACATGAAAGTGTAATAAATTCCACCACAAGGTGCTGCTACCACTTTTATTGAATATTATCACATAGATGTGTTCAGGGCGAGACTCTTATCATACAAATGAAGTTTGGGGCCAATTGAACGATGTACACTCAAGTTACAGCAAATTCATGTGCGTCCATGTTTGACGCCACGCCGCGGACATGCCCTTCAACGACAAATCACTACATTTATCACATATCATCAACATTATGGTTTGCATTTTCTCTCTTGGGGGCTGATTCAGAGAGGCGGGGCTTAGCCATGTGGCGGCGCCCGTGCACGGGTACAAATGGATACGTCGAGTTCTGCCACGTTTTAATTTTGTGCAAAGTTTCATGAGCTGTCGAGCATGGGAATATGCTAAATATCTATAAAATATGTCACTGTGTGCCGTCAGTTTAATCAATGATAAAAAAGTTCCCTGAAGGAAAAAGGTGTTGAACCACTATGTACTATATTTTTCCAATGTTAGATTATTGTTGTTCAAATTCTCTAAATGCTAATAAGGAAAGATGCTTCAATGCTTCCTTTCTGATCTCCTTTAACATACCGTCCTCTACCAAAGGAGTCTGTTTGTGAGTATATTCAGACTCTGAGAGAGAACCAGTAACACTGACTGTGAGCTCAGAACACAAGAAAAGATGAACCAACACACACACACACACACACAGTATAATGAATCTGTCATACGCTGCTTTGAATGTATGCTTGTTTTTGTGAGTTAGCATTAAGTCTGTTGTTCATTATTCATCCAATCACACTGTATTCACAGATGAATCAGAGACTTTGACAGTAAAACAATAATAATGTTGTATTAACACTCACCCTGACTCAGACTTCCTGTCTCTCCTTCTGCTCTGTCGACTCAAAAGAGTGCTGAACAGGTACGAGTGGTGTACCTGTTATCACTGTTTGTTCTCCCCGTCACATTTTACAGGAAATCATTTGTGTGTATCTTTTCTGAATCCAGCGGTTTCTTCCTGATCAATTCAGTAAGTGTCAGATTACATTGTGCGTTGCTGATGTTTTTCGAATCGACCGCACTCTTTCAGAGTTTGTCGTCCCCTCTCGTGTTTTGCTCATGTCACAGT